TATTTTTCTGAATACAATCTAATTCTTCTCTCAAGGCATTAAGTCATTATTAAGATTCTTGTGACCTCATATCATCATTAAAGTAAAAAAGGTAATGGATTTTATCTTGGTCAATAAGGTTGTCTATCTCCTCGCTCATTTAGACATAGAAATCATCAACGTATGATAGAGGAGCTTTATACCTCTTTTGACCACTTAACATTGTGTGTGTATGTACTTAAACATCACCATGTTGATCAGGGTTATCCATATCCACTGTAGGTAGTGGTTCTAAGTCATTTATGATATCAAGTTGATTATCATTATCCTCTACATGTATTTTTATTTCAATAAAATCTTCTAGGAACTCAACATCTTTGCTTTCAATGAGTCTCTTATCTTTATGATAAAATCGATATCCATTTCAATATTCGAGTATCATATAAAAAGACAAATAAGAGTTTTGTTTTTTAACTTATTTCTATGCTGATATGGAATTAAGACATATGCAATTGACCCATACTTCTTTAAGTTTGTTAGATCAGGTTTTCTCTATGTCCACAATTCATAAGGGATGAATCTATTGCCTTAGTTGTAACCATATTAAGAAGATACATATACATGGATGTGCTTATTGCTTCTCCTCAAAAGGTATTGGGTAGACTGGCATAAACCATCATGGATCTAGTCATTTCTAATAGGGTTCTTTTACACTTTTTAGTTATTCTATTTTTTTTGTGGCGTATAAGGCATAGTGATATATCTTTTAATACCATATCTTTGACAAATAAGTATTAAAAGCTTCGGATGTGTATTCACCTCCTTTATCAGTTATAAGAACTTTGATATTCCTACCCAATTGGTTTTCTACAAGCAGTGCTGACAGGTTGAAAATTCCACATTATTTAGATTTGAAACAAGACATTTATTTATTAATCTATTTATTTTGTCTTTTCTTATACGGCCAAGCCTAAGATGCCAAGTATATGCATCAACAACCATTATACAATCAACATAACTAAAATAAGTAGAAATTTTATCATCATCTTTCTCATTTACATGAAGAAGGAACAAGTTATGGTCATCAACCAAGTGTCCCCAAGCATAAATTTATCCACGCTTTTTTTATTAATACTTTCAATGATCGGATGAGCAAGGAGATATACAATATTTCACCATACAAGATACGAAATATACATCAGTTAATACAAGGTCGATTGCCCCTACATACAACATACAAAATCCTACGCATAATACAAATTCCTATACTTAATACATCAGAATAGGTGTTGTTCCCCATGTAGATGAGTTTCTTCTCAGCTTTTATTTATTTGAAGTCATCGAATACATCTTTTGAGCATGCAATATGACGATTAGCCCCTGTGTCTACTCATCATCATTTGATGTCTTGGTCTTCATGCCTCTTGTTTTCATTTTTGTTATGTTATGGATTTTGTGGGTTTCTATTATATGGGCAGTAGTTTTTTAAGTGGCCTGACTGACCATATACGAAGCATTTTGACGATCCTTGTTTAATTTCTTGGTTGTAGAGTTTGATATATCTATTTTTTAACCTATTGTTCACCTTATTAAACTTTATTTGAAAATTGTAGTTGTTAGGCGTTAGTTAGCTAGATTTGGGAAGTCCTTAAGCAAGCATGAGCTCACTCTTTTTATCTTTATTCATGTGTTCTTGCTCTCAGGCCTTATAATGTAGAGATTTAGCATTCAACCTAAGTGCTATTGTTATGATCCTCCATGAAGGTGGATGGATATTTAAGATTGTGGAAACTTGCATATGCTCGGGAACTTTATTCTCAGCAATGACTAAGTCCTTAGCCATAACAAACATATTGTTTACATATTCCACTACATTATCACCCTCATTCATTTTAAATGAGTTATATTACTTCAATAGCAATTGGAAGTGTGTTTCAGAGGTTGAGTCATACTTTGTTTTGATTACAAGCAACATTTTTTTATATGTTTCATGATGTTCGAAAACCTTAATAAGGTCATCTTGCATAAAGCTTAACATTAATATTTTAGCTATGATGACATCTTTTAGGAATTTTTCTAATTTTTTTTTATTCTTCAGTTGGTTCTATCACCAACTATTGGTGGATCATTTTTTAATACATATATGATTCTATCTTAGATGATGAAATATTTCATCTTCCTCTTCCACATGCCAAAATTGGTTCCATTCAATTTTTCAACTCTACAAAGTTCAGCTATTACAATTCTACTATACATTTACTAAGTTGTGTGAACAACCTAATACTTTCTAAGTTATAAAAAAGCTAAATAAGTCACAAAAAATATTTATTATGCGGTCAATACATGTACTGACAGAGCTGCAACTATGTCATAAACAATATCAGTTATTAAGTGATGCCTTAAAAAAATTTATGAAATAGGAAATCTCCCAATCTATAAGTTAGCAGTACAATTACCAAATATAATATAAAATTTCTCCTTATATTATTTATTTAGGACACATGAGCAATATCAAGGGGAGCAATAGCAGGCAAAAAAAAGAAAAAGAGCAATATCAAGGGGAGCAATAGCAGGCAAAAAATTTGCAATTGATGAAAGAGGATTAAATGCTAGGGATCTAAACCTTGATATCAAAAGAAAATAGTAATTCAGCTGAGATTGGGCTTCCTGCCAAATCAGGTCGATAAAGAAAAACTCATAATAGAAAAAAAATACAAGATCAAATAAAATTAAGACGTCAAATAATTGCTTTGAAATTCTAACAGTATTGCCCACAGAAAAGACATAGTCACTTACAAAGGCAAATCAACCATAAGAAACAAATATGCTCTATTTTTATGGTTTTGAAGGCAGAATATTAAAGCGAGAGGGCTCTTAGGTAACAGCAACAAGGTCTAATAAAATCTAAATTGTAAACATAATAGTATTAAAGAGTGATCTCCCCTCTCCTTCTTAATTAAAAAAAACACACAAGCGAGAACAACTATGTTTCCACATTTTTTTTTGTTGGGTTGTTGTTGTTGAAAAGTAAAAAGGTTTCCATGAGTTATATTTATCAACTTAATAACTATATCTTTATTGTTATAAGACTTTACATCTATTGGGTTTTTATTTATCTATTATTATTAAATTGAGAGAGTTAATAGTATTATCTCTTTGTGGATGTTGCACTCCTCTTCTCTTTAAGTACAAGTTAAGCTTTACTATTTGATATGGCAATTAATTAGCGCGGTGAATCACTGTATATACCGGTGATATATATACAAAAGAATAGAAGAGGCAAGAACGTAAAATTTTATCGCTCATGAAAAACAAAAAAAATCCGATCATGATTTTTATTAATTTATTTACACAATTTATTCTTTTTACTACAATCATGAATCGAAAAAAATTTATCAATCATGAATGGTTAATTTTCTTTTTCTTTAAGCGGACTTTGACCTAATCTCTACATGAATATTAGGGCTTCAAAAGAATTTTACAGGAAACTGTAGGCTACGCATACACAATAAAATATCATGCGTAGATCATGACAAACACGATGTCAACATTAAATCACAGAAGCTCCACCATTAAAAAAAATTAGAACAAAAGGGACGAGGGAACCTGGATCTCTCTGATACCAATGTTAGGAAAATCGATGAAATGAGGATGAGAGTAAAACCCAAGGTCAGAGAGGAGGTGCCATGACTAGCCATGGTGGAGTTTTGTTTGGAATCAGCATGACTAGCCATGGTGGAGTTTTGTTTGGAATCAGCATGATTAGCCATGGTGGAGTTTTGTTTTTGGATAATTCAGTGGGGATGACGGGCCCTTAGATGTATTTTTTCAGATAGATTAGGAAGTTAGTGTTTTTGAAGGTGTTCGTAGGTGGCATCAACAAGGTTGGAAACCACAATGTGGTAACTAGTTATGGGGGTGCTATGACCATGACCCATTCCCTTTCCTACCATGGTGGAGTTTTCCATGCTTATTTACAAAAAAAAAAAAATATAATCTCAAACGTATTACAAGTTGTTCCTTTTGATTTACAATAACTCTAAAATGATGCTCGGATTGAAGCATATTTTGGCAACATCGAGATATCAAAAACTCTGAATTTTTAGCTCATACAACCCAATCCAAAATTTATCGTATATCTCATTCATTTCTCCCCCATTTCATTTCAAAATTGTGTCATCATCTCACACAACATTTGTATGTAGTTGTTCATGGTCGGTTATGAGTTTAACAGATATTTTGTTCATTTTGTTTTTTAAATATCCGTCTTTCACTCACTCTTCTTTATTTCATGTCTATTTTATGTGAAATATGTCTCACTCGGAGCGCCCTACAAGACATCCACAATTATTTCTTGAAGCGAATATCCATTCGATGGAATTTTTGTACTAAAATTTTGTGTTTTTTTAAAATTCATGCTCATATCAGCCAAAAATAGCATCAGATATGAGTTTTAAATGATTTATAACATGTTCAATATATTTTAAGCAACTTCATATCTATTTTTAGATGAAGAAATAAAAATAAATGATTTTTTATGAAAAAAACCAAATAATTTTTTTTTTTTTCAATTGAGCGCATATATTATGCTCCCTAACGAGGATATTGTGCATCTTCTCTCTCACTTAAAATACCTACTTAGGAGAATTTTTTTAGTCTAAAATTTTGGGAAACACATAATAATTACTAGATTATTTTTAAATGCAAATATTTGAATTTTTAAGTTTTTTTGTAGTTAAATCTGGGCCTTCAAATTCCCAAATCTATACTAAAAAATAAACAATATATTGAATCTTGAGAGGTTGCGCCACCTAATCCGGGCTTAATGAGCCCCTGATCCCGGGCCACGAACATTATCAAGTGGAGGGAAACTGAGTTGGACCCGAAGTTCGCCAACAGGGCCATCCCGTTTAGCGTACTGAAGTCAAGGGCTATCATGGGTATTTTACAAAAGAGTGCTATATTTTCGTTATAACTGATGAATATTAGGGCCATTTTGGTCATGTTTCACTTGATCTCTCCCGCGTTAAATTGATTGTTGAGGAGTCTAGGGTTTATCCCTTTTGGCAGTTTCGCTATTTGCCCTCCTCGGATCGTTTGGAGCATAAGGATTAGGGTTTTTCAAGGTACCATTTTCTTCTGCAACTTAAGATTATGTTCACTACACATGGAAGAGCTTTTTTTCAGTTTGTTATCTGTGTTTATTTTTTCATTCATTATATGATTTGCATTGTACATCTTGTTTTGTGTTTGGTTATGGTTACTTTATGTTATTATGGTTTTCATTTACTTCCAACATGTATATAATATGTATGATTCCCGTTGTGATTTTATCCATTGTTTTTATTATTATTTTTGTGGATAAGTACTGCGAATATTTGAAGTTATGGATTAGATGTTTCACGTCTTCTTCTTCAATATGTTTGTGGAATTAATATTTTTCGCTTGGAATTAATATTTTTCTAGTGAATCAGAGCACATGTTCTTTATAAATATTTATCCTTTCGACCCTTGATATGGCTGTCCTGGTTCATTTTACTCAGCATCAAAGGGTTCATTTCTATCTGCTTAAGGAAGCTCAGATCATTTAAGGGGCATTTTTATTTCAATTTCTATATCAACTCGGCCTTGCCCTATTGGCGAGGCGAGTTGGGGTGTCCAACTTGTTAGCATCCAAAAAAAGTGCCGAAAATAAAAATATTAAAAATATGAAAAATGGGAAAAACACTGTTATATTAGTTAAGAATATGTTTTTAGATGATTTTGGTAGTTTTTAAGATGATTTGGGAACTCTATATTTTTTAAATTTTTTATAATCCGTCTTCTATGGATTACTGACAAAGTGCTGAATTTAAAGAAGAAAAGGAAGACGCGGATTATTGTAAAAGGTGCTGAATTTAAAGTAGAAAAGGAAGCGGTCATTGCTGTTAAACGAGAGACAAAATGTGCTGAATTCAAAGTAGAAGAGGAAGTGGTCATTGCTGTTATTATGAAATATGTTGGCACTTTTTCTTGTAAAAAGAAAAAAGAATGATGCTATTGTTTTGATAATTTGAGGTGTCACAATTTATATATTCTGCTGTTGTTGTGAAACATTAGCCAACGGCTGCCCTCTTTCCCTGCCCAACTTCCCTCTAAATTTGTGTGCTTTATGGGTTTTGAAATTCACTGAAATATTTATGAGCCCCACTCCTAGGATTTAACATGAAGTGATTGTGTAGTTAGAGCAACTAACTTACTCCATCTCTAATGATAACAAGATATATTTTGTTTAAACTTACAAGTTAAAGAAGGAGACAATGGTTTCTACTATAATGCATGAAAATCCCGATATTTTAAGAGAACATGTCCTCAAATTTAGTGCTGGCAATGGGTCGGGTCCTGCTGGACCTGGACCCGAAATGGTCCAAGTGTACCCATACACGATGGGTCCAAAATGAGGTCCGGGCCTGACCGTCTCACCTTTTTAAGAAAGCTCTCCTGAGATACAGGTGATGAACAAGCAGAGACTTTGGTTGATCCCATAATCACAAGGAGAGAGAGAGAGAGAGAGAGAGAGAGAGAGAGAGAGAGAGTAGTAGTAGTACGTACGTAACTTTAACTTTTACACTATACTACTCTCGTCTCGTACTTTAACTTTAAATTTAGTCGGTACTTAGTTTAGTTACTTACTA